AATCAAATTTTATGTATGCAAAAGGTTAGTGGGAGCCTACTAATCATGGTTATTTTATATAAAAATTAAACAAACTAATTCTTAGCTTTAAACATTATCATGTTGCAATCCTTAATAGATTTAGATGTTTAAAAGCAATTTCCCCTAGTATGACATAAGAGGGCAACCAACATACTAAATGTCAAGATCTATAGAGATAGATAACTTAGAATGTGAGGGGTCTCCCAAGGAAGATATATTGATATGATACTAAAAGGTTTAATGTGGAAGAATCAACAAGGATTTCTTCTAATGTCACATAGCTTGATGGCCAACAACAAGGGATCCATAGCACATGCTAGGGAACCAAGGTCTCATCAATGATCCAAGCATGTAATACAATGCTATCAACTCGATTAGAGAAATTATTAGTCGTTGTGACATAAGGATAGAAAAGGTCCACACCGACAATAACATAATTGATCCCTTAACTAAACCTTTATCACAACCGAAACACAAGTCTCTTACTTGATCGTCGGGATTAAAAGACATGGCTGGTTGGATCTAGTATAAGTGGGAGATTATTAGTGTAGGTGTCCAAGATCCAACCTTGTTTGGATCGGTTTGAGTTATTATATTATTGTATCATTTATTATATTAATAATAAAGAAGTATTTCTATTCATTCTTATATCTTATATTTGTTTATTAAATAGAATTAGATAGAAATCCATATGATATGTATTAACATTAGTGATTGATTGAAAGATATGAGATAAACGAGCAATGTGCATAAATAATATCATTAAATGTTCTAAGTCATAGCATTGTCAAGAATGGACAATGACTAAATGTGGCTAAACTTGTGAGTGTTACGCTCATGCTATATGATAATAGTATGAGATCTATTACCTATTGACATGATGATGTCAAAGCAAGCACTTAGGTGATTCATGTTAGAGAACATATCACTCGACTTAACTCGCCATGAGAACCCATTTGGCTTAGTCTATGAGAATCTCATATGAGATGGGTACAACTAGTTCTTAGACTTAAAGTCATCATGGTTATCTCATTGGAGCATTTATGTACTTCGTCACTTGTTTCAATAGAATCGGTAAAGGGTTACACATGGACGATTTGTTGGATGCACTAGAAATCTAATGGAGGTAGGTTGATAACTAAGATAGGACATGTCATTTCTTGTATGCTAAAGGAGTTATCACATCGCACTTCGATGAATATCTCGCTTAATAAATCTATGACCATAGTAGAAGTATACCAATAAAGCATAGTTGATTGACTCTATGAGCTAAGACATTTGAGAATCGAAGAAAACTTGTGTGATTATAATCGAACAAGACTAATAATTAAGTTCAAGATCACATTATGATAAGTTGACATGAGGACCGAAGCGTATGGTAATCGTGCTCACGAAAGATAATTGTGAATTAATTAATCCTCCTAGAGAATTGGGTAGTCATGATGCCTTATTAGAAGTCAATCTTGATTTATATGTCAAGAGATAAAAGAGAGTCTTTTATTCTTAATACATTGCCAATATATCTAGAAGCCTATTGAGTCACACGTATAAGTTTAAGCATTCACATAATTAAAGACAATCAAAGATGTTGGAAAAAGTTTTCAATTTTGAAAGTTTCCTACTTTGGAAAAAATTTTCAAAAGTGGAAAGTTTCTTATTTTAGAAATTAGTTTCTTAATTTGAAAGTTAGTTCTAAATTTAGAAGTAAATGACCTAAAATGAAAATTAGTTTTCTAATTCGAGGTTTAAGGATAATCTAAGAAATTTGATTTCTAATGTGGACCTCCTAAAATTATCTAACTTAATTTATTTGGGTAGTCCAAATTAATTAATTGGGCCAATAGGTTTAATTAAAAGACCGAAAGATATTTTGATAGGAGGATAAACATAAACCTTATTGGATAAGAATGGATGTTTTAAAGATAAGATAAAAAAACCCACATGCACAATAACTCTTAATCATTGGAGGATTGGGAAGGAACAACCTAGAATCCTTTAGGGACTCAATGCCGCCCCTTCCTCGTCCTTGGAGGATAAAGAAGCCTCTCCTATAAATATGTGGAAGAGAGGTGTGGTAAAGGTAAGGTTATTAACAAGAGAGAAAAACAGCAAAAGGGAAAAAAAAGCTAGGGTATATGACTTGAGTACAAAATTAAGGAGAAAATAGTGTTCTCCCTTCCTAAAATCAAACACGCCACTTTTCTCTCTCCTTAGGTTGTCGTAAAGTTTTACCGATTTGACTTCTAAAGTAGAACACTAAACAGAGTTAGAAAAGATAGAGCTAGCACTTTATCAATTTTGAATGCTTCCAGTGTGGTGCTTGGACCGCATAGATTATCAATAGAGGCCGGACACTTAGACGGCACTTTTCTATAAAGGTTTGAATATGCACTATAAGAGGTAATTTTTTATTTAGAGCTTTAATTTATGAATATGTGGTTATTTGATTCAACACCATGATCTTGAGCCTTTAGATGGAAGAAATTTTTATTTTATTTCGCACTTCCATAGGATGCATATTCCTTCACACGCTTCTCCAATGTCGCCAACAAAGGCGGTTATATCAATTCTTTATATGTGCGAGATGTGTGGTTAATTAATTCTAGTTTTATTTTTAATTTTTTGATTAAATTCGTAGTTAATTAAGTATACTTTTCCGTAATAGTTGGATTATGATCGTTAAAAAGTAATGGTTAGCCATTGACTCAATCAAATTGGTTTTCGAATAGTCATATTAGCCTAAACATCTTTGGATGATCAAATTAACTGGATCAACATCATCGATTCAAACATCGCCAACAATGTTTCAGCAAGTACAATCAAAATATCGAAGTTAAACGTGTTTAGGTGAAACTTACACTAGGATGGGTGACCTCATAGGAAGTTATCGTGTTGCACCCCTCATTGTACTATGGCTTTAGTGCTTTTTCGAGCTTATGTCCGTGGTCAAAGGCGTAAATTCTCTTTTAGTAACCCAACCGAGAGGCTAGTTCGAAAAGACGACATAACTCCCGCCAACAATCAAGACGAGCATCTATCATAGGTAGCTCCGTGACACCGTGCTTCTCTAACACCGCTAGCGAGAGGCAATTATATCTATTCTTTGCACATGGGCGACACGTGGTTAATTAATTCTATTTTTATTTTTACTTGTTTGATTAAATTTGTAATTAATTAAGTATGCTTTTTTATGATAGTTAGATTATTACTCGTTAAAAAATAACGATTAGTTATTGACTCAATCAAACTGGTTTTCGAATGGTCATATTGGCCCAACTATCGGATGATCAAATTAATGAGATCTACATCATCGATTCGAATATCGTCAATAAATAAATATCATAAGAGCAATATGAGGATCCGTTCATGGTACTAGTGTGGGAAGTTTGAGAAAGTACAAAAAGAAAGACACCGTGCTTCGCGGCATCGCCTCGCAAAGGTAGTTATATCCGCTCCTATGTGCATCCTATCTCGGGTGTGATCATACCACCATTAATACATTCAATCTCATCCTAACTCGAAGTTAAATGTGCTAAGGCGAGAGTAATACACAAATAGGTGATCTTCAGGAAGTCTTCTTGTTGCACCCCTCATTTTACTACACTTTTAGTGCTTTTTCGAGCTTCGATCCATGGTCGAGGGTGAAGATTCTCCCACGAGTGACCCCATTGAGAGGCCGGCTCGGGATGGCGCTATAGCTCCCACCAGCACTCGGGATGGCATCTATCATGGGTAGGTCCACGACACCGTGCTTCTTCGGCATCGCCGATAGAGGTGGTTATATCTATTCTTTGCATATGCGCGATACGTGGTTAATTACTTCCAGCTTTATTTTTATGTTTTTGATTAAATTCATAGTTAATTAAGTATGCTTTTCAATGACGAGTTGGATTATGATTGTTAAAAAGTAATGGTTAGTCATTGACTCAATCAAACTAGTTTTTGAATGGTAATATTGGCCTAAACATTGAACGATCAAATTAATGGGATCAACATAATCAATTCGGACATCATCAATAAATAAATATCACAAGAGCAACATGGGGATCCGGTCATGGTATTAGTGTGAGAAGTTTGGGAAAGTATGAAAAAGAAGACACCACACTTTTATGATGCCGCTCGCAAAGGTAGTTATATCTATTCTTGCACGCGTCTTGTCTTGGGTGCAATCATACCAGCTTTAATGCGTCGAATCTCATCTAAACTCCGAAGTTAAATATGTTTGGGTGAGAGTAGTACTATGATGGATGACCTCCTAGGAAGTCCTCGTGTTGCACCCCTCATTTTACTATGCCTTTGGCGTTTTTTCAAGCTCATGCCCATGGCCAAAGGCATAGATTCTTCCACAGCGGCCTCATCGAGAGGTTGGTTTGGGACGATGGCACAACTCCTATCAGCACTCGGGACAAGCATCCGTCGTGGGCGGCTTCGCGACATTGTGTTTCTCTAATGTCGCTAATAGTAGGTCGTTATATATATTCTTTGTATGTGCATGACATGTGATTAATTAATTTTTGTTTTATTTTTACTATTTGGATTAATTTCATAGTTAATTAAGTATGCTTTTCTATGATAGTTGGATTATGAGTGTTAAAAAGTAACGGTTAGTCATTGACTCAATTAAATTGGTTTTCAAACGATCATATTAGCCCAAACATCAAACGATCAAATTAACATGATCAACGTCATCGATTCGGACATCACCAATAAATAAATATCACAATAGCAACATAGGGATCTTGTTATGGTATTAGTGTGGGAAGTTTGGGAAAGTACAAAAGGAAAGACACTAGACTTCGTGATGTTACTTGCAGAGGTAGTTATATATGTTCTTGTGCACATCCTATCTTAGGTGCGATCATACCAACATTAATGCATTGAATCCCATCGGAACATCAAAGTTAAATATGCTTGGGCGAGAGTAGTATTAGGATAGGTGACCTCCCGGGAAGTCTTTGTGTTACACCCCTCATTGTACTATGCCTTTCACTATTTTTTGGGCTCGTGTCCGTGGTCGAAGGTGCGGATTCTCTCACAATGGCCCCATCGAGAGGCCGGCTCGGGATGATGGTGTAGCTCCCGCTAGCACTCGGTGTTAGTACTCGGTGCCTAAGATCCAACTTTACTTAGATAGATTTGAGTTATTGTATTATTGCATCATTTATTTTATTAATAATAAAGAAGTATTTCTATTAATTCTTTTGTTTTGTGTTTACTTATTCATTGAATAAAATTAGATAGAAGTTCATATGATATGCATTTGCATTAGTAATTGATCAAAAGATGTGAAACAAATACTAATGCATATAAATGATATCGGTAAATTTCTCAAGTTATAGCATGATCAAAAATGGATATTAACTATATGCGGATAGACTTATGAATGCTATGCTCATGCTATATGATAACGAGTAGGAGATCTCACATCTATTGGAATGATGATGCTAAAACAAACGCATAGGTGATTAATGTTAAAAAAATATATCACTATACTTGACTCACCATGGAACCCATTTGGTTTAGTTTATAGAAATCTCATTCAAGAAGGATACAACCGGTCCTTAGACTTGAGGTTGTCACGGTTATCTCATTAGAGGATTTATGTACTTTGACACTCGTTTTGATGGACCCGAGTAAAGGGTTGCACGTGAGCAATTTGTTGGATACACTAGGAATTTAATAAAGGTAGACGAATGAACAAGATAGGACGAGTCATTCCTTTTACGCTAAAAAAGTTATCACATTATACTTTATTGAATGTCTACTCAAAAAATCTATGGCCATAGTAGGAGCACACTAATAGATCGTAGTTGGTTTCCTCTATGAGCTAAGACATTTGAGAATTGAAGAAAACTTGTGTAATCATGATCGAACAAGTCTAATAACCAAGTTTGAGATCACACTCGTAATAAGTTGACATGAGGACTCGAATTATATGGTAATCATGCTTATGAAGGTAACTAAGGATTAATTAATCCTCCTAGAGAATTGGGTAGTCATGATGCCTTGCTAGAGGCCAATCTTGACTTATGTATCAAAAGATAAAAGAGGTTTATTTTATTCTTGATACATTGCAAACATATCTAGGAGCCCATTGAGTCACATGCATAAGTTTAAACATTCACATGATTAAAATGAAGAAAATATATTAGAAAAATTTTCCAATTATGAAAGTTTCCTAATTTTGAAGTTAGTTTCAAATTTGGAATGAATAACCTAAAATGAAAATTAGTTATCACATTATACTTCGATGAATGTCTACTCAAGAAATCTATTGTCATAGTAGGAGTACACCAATACGAGTGTAGTTGGTTTACTCTAAGAGCTAAGACACTTCAATGAGTTATCACATTGCACTTCGATGAATGTCTATTTAAAAAATCTGTGGCTACGGTAGGAGTACACCAATAGAGCATAATTGGTTTACGTTAACGAACTAAGACATTTGAGAATTGAAGAAAACTTATGTGATCGTGATCGAAAAAGACTAATAATCAAGTTTGAGATCACACTCGTGATAAGTTAAAATGAGGACTGAATTGTATGGTAACTATGCTCGTGAAAGGTAACTACAGATTAATTAATCCTCCTAGAGAATTGGATAGTCATGATGTCTTACTAGAGGCTAATCTTGACTTATATATCAAAAGATAAAAGAGACGTCTTTTATTCTAGATACATTGTCAACACATTTAGTAGCCTATTGAATCGCATGCATAAGTTTAAGCATTCACATAATTAAAGAAAAGCAAAGATGTTGGAAAAAGTTTTCAATTATGAAAATTTCCTATTTTGAAAAAGGTTTTCGAAAATAGAAATTTTTCTAAATGAAACTTTCCTAAAATGAAAAGTTTCTTATTTTAGAAATCAATTTCCTAATTTGGAAGTTAGTTCTAAATTTGGAATGAATAACCTAAATTCAAAATTAATTTCCTAATTTAGGTTTAAGGATAATTTGAAAAATTAGTTCCTAATATGGGCCTCCTCAAATTATTTAACTTAATTTATTTGAATAGTCCAACTTAATTAATTGGGTCAAAATAGTTTTGCACCAATAGGTTTATTTAAAAGTCCGAAAGATATTTTGGTGTGAGGATAAACATGAACCTTATTGGATAAGGATGAATGTTTTAAAGATAAAGATCAAAAGTCCACATGCAAAATAACTCATAATCTTTAACGGTTATATCTATTTATTGCATATGTACAATGTGTAATTAACTAATTTTGAATTTATTTTTACTTTTTAATTGAATTCATTATTAATTAAGTTTTTTTTATGATAATTAATTTTAGAAAAAAATATCACAGTTGGATTATAACTCGTTAAAAAATTATAGTTAATCATTAATCAAATTGGTTTTTGAACTATCATATTAGCCCAAATATCAAACGATCAAATTAATGGGATCAACATCATTGATTTAGACTTCGCTAAAAACTAAATGTCACAAGAGTAACATGGGGACATGATCATGGTATTAGTATGGAAAGTTTGAGAGAAAGTACAAAAAAAAGACACCGCACTTCTTCGACGCTAACTGCGAAGCAGCTTATATCTATTTTTGCACACATCTTGTCTTAGGTGTAATCATACCGGCACTAATGCATCAAATCCCATTAAAATTCAAAAATTAAATGTGTTTTGATGAGAGTAGTATTAGGATGGGTGACCTCTTGGGAAGTCTTCATGTTGCACCTTTCTTACTATGCCTTTTTTACCCTTTAACATCCCCCCATCTTTCTCACCTTTCATTCTCTCTTCTCTTTCAGCCTAGCCCTCTCAAATGATATGGAACCGCCAGTTCGAGTAAACATAGGTCGATAACGATTTCCCTTAAGACCTTGTTTCGGGGTCTAAAAAAACTTTTGAAGTGTTTTTTTGAGCTTCGTCTAAAGCTTGGGGCATAGATTCTCTTGCACCGACTCAATCAAAAGGCTAGCTCATGATGGTTGTATAGCTCCCGCTAGTACTCAAGATGACATCTATCGCGAGCAGACTTTGTGATACTACGCTTCTCCGTCATCGCTTATTGATGTGGTTATATCTATTTTTTGGACATGCACGACGTGTGATTAATTAATTTTTACTTGCATTTTTTTATTAAATTCATAATTAATTAATTATTTTTTTGTGATACTTAATTAATTTTAAGAAAACTATTATAACTCGTTGGATTATGATTGTTAAAAAGTAACGACTAGTCATTGAATTAAACTGGTTTTTAAACAATCATATTGACCCAAACATTAGATATTCAAATTAACAAGATCAACACCATCGATTCGAACATCACCAACAAAAAAATATTACAAGAGTAACATGGGGACCGGCATGGTATTAGTGTGGGAAGTTTGGAAAGTACAAAAGAAAGACATCGCGTTTCTCCAACGTCACCTACAAAGGCGATTATATCTATTTTTGTGGCATCTTGTCTCGAGTGCAATCATACCGATACTAAAGGAGTCGGATCCCTTTAGAGCTCTAAAGTTAAATGTGCTTGGGGGAGAGTAGTACTAGGATGGGTGATCTCTTGGAAAGTACTCGTGTTGCACCTTTTTTTTTACTCCTTGCCCCTCAACGTCCCCCTCCCCATCTTTCTCGCATTTCATTCTCTCTTCTTTTTCATCCCGACCTTCCCGGATTGCATGGAACCGCCAATCCAAGCATATGCAAGCAACCGTTATCCCTAAGGCCACATTTTGGGGTAAAAGAAAAACATTATTAAAGCTCTTTCTTGGGCTCTTGTTCAAAGCCGTGGCGTAGACTCTCCCGCAATAGCCCCATCGAAAGGCTGGCTTGGGATGGTCACATTCTTCCCATTAGCCACTTGGGACGGCGTTTGTAGTGAGCGACTCCATGACATCGTGCTTTTCCGACGTCATCTGTAGAGGTAGTTATGTCTATTTTTTACACATGCGCGACATTTGATTAATTAATTTTGATTTTTTTTAACTTTTTGAATAAATTCATAATTAATAAATTATGTTTTGTGACAATTAATTAATTTTGAAAAAAAATAATATGATAGTTAGATTATGATAGTTAAAAAGTAATAATTAGTCATTGAATTAAATTGGTTTTTGAATAGTCATGTTGGTCCAAACATCGAAGGATCAAATTAATGGGATCAAAATCATCAATTCGAATATCACCAATAAATAAATATCATAAGAGTAACATGGGGACGTAGCCATGGTATTAGTGTGGGATGTTTGGAAAAATACGAAAAGAAAGACACGCTCTTCTCCAACATCACTCGTAAAGGTAGTTATATCTAGTTTTGCATGCATCTTGTCTTGGGTACGGTTATATCAGCCTTGATGCATCGAATCCCATCAAAAATCTAAAGTTAAATATGTTTTGACGATAGTAGTATTAGGATGGGTGATCTTTCGAAAAGTACTCATGTTGCACCTCTCTTTTTACTCCTTTTTTGCCCTTCAACGTCCCTTTCATCTTTCTTGCCTTTTATTCTCTCTTCTCTTTCAGCCTGACCACTTTTGAACGGAGTGGAACTACCAATTCAAGCATATACAAGCCAACGAGTCATTGCCCCTAAGGCTCCATTTCGGCGTCCAAGAAAAAAAAAACTCTCAAAGTGCTTTTTCAAGCTCATGTCCGGAGCTAGAAGTGTAGATTCTCCCACAGCGGCCCCATCGAGAGGCCGCCTCAAGACAATCACACTCGTTCCCACTCACTCTTAGGGCATCATCTATCATAGGCAACTCTACGACAATACGTTTCTTTGACACCACCTGTAGAGGCGGTTATATCTATTTTTTGCACATGCGCAACATGTGATTTATTAATTTCAAATTTGTTTTTAGTTCTTAATTAAATTTATAATTAATTAATTATGTTTTTCTATGATAATTAATTTCAGAAAAAAAATATGATTATTGGATTATGACTATTAAAAAGTAACGAGTTAGTCATTGAGTCAAACTAGTTTTTCAACGATCATATTGGCCTAAATATCGAATGATCAAATTAATAGGACCAACATCATCAATTTGATCATCGTCAATGAATAAATATCACAAGAATAACATGGGCACTTGGTCATTGTATTAGTGTGGGAAGTTTAGGAAAGTATGAAAAGGAAGACACCACTCTTCTCCGGCATCGCTTATAGAGGTAGTTATATCTATTTTTCCATGCATCCTATTTTGGATGCGATCATACCAACACTAATACATCGGATCCCGTCGAACTATGAAGTTAAATGTGCTTGGGTGAGTATAGTACTATGATGGGTTACCTCCTCGAATCTCCTCGTGTTGCATCCTTCTTTTTATCCCATTTTGCCCCTCAATGCCCTCCGTCTCTCTCGCCTTTCATTCTTTCTACTCTTTTCGTCGCTCCTCATTTAGCTTGACCCTTTCACACGGTGTGGAACCACTAGTCCGAGCACACGCCGATTGGCAACGAGAACGCAGTTCAAGTTGGGCGATTTCCTTCACACGCACATAACTTTGGACTCAAGCATTCGTTTAGGGCCCACAAGGTGTTGACGAAAAGCTAATCCAGAACTCTACAACGATCGCTTGGAGCCGTTGCCCCTCAGGCCCCATTTCGAGGTCTAAAAAAAGCTCTGAAGCATTTTTTTTTTTGTAGATTCTCCCATAGCGACCCCACCGAGAGACCGCCTCAAGATAGTTGCAGCGCTCCCGCCAAGCACTCTAGATGGCATCCGTCATGAGCGGCTTCGTGACACCATGCTTCTTCGGTGCCACCAGCAGAGGTGGTTGTATCTATTTTTTTACACGTGCAACGTGTGATTAATTAATTTTGAATTTATTTTTACTTTTTAATTAAATTCATAATTAATTAATTATATTTTTCTCGTGATAGTTAATTAATTTCTAAAAAAAGAATATTACTTTTGGGTTATGATCGTTAAAAAATAAAGTTAGTCATTGAATCAAATTGGTTTTTCAATAGTCATATTGGCCTAAACACTCGGATGATCAAATTAACGAGATCAACATCATCGATTAGAACATTGCTAATAAATAAATATCGAACAATTATATGGGAACTCGGTCATGGTATTAGTGTGAAAAGTTTGAGAAAGTACGAAAAGGAAGACACCATGCTTCTTCGACGTCGCTGCGAGAGGTCGTTATATCTATTTTTGCTCATATCACATCTTGGGTGTGATCATACAAGCACTAATGCTTCGAATTTCATTAAAACTATAAAGTTAAACATGCTTAGATAAAAGTAATTTTAGGATAGGTGAAATTTTGAGGAAGTCCTCGAGTTGCACCCCATTTTTATACCTTTTTTGCCCTTCAACGTCTCCCATGTCTTTCTCATCTTTCATTCTGTCCAGCCCTCTCAAACGATGTGGAACCATCGGTTTGAGCACATCGAGCCAATGACCATTGCGTAGTTTAAGGTAGATAGATTTTCTTCGGACGAAAACAACTTTTGACTTGGGAGTCCATTTGGGGCTCGTAAGGTGCTAACGTAAAGCTAATCCGCAGCTCTACAAAAATGCTCGGAGCTATTGTCCTTAAGGCCCCATTTTGGGGTATAAAAAAAACAACCTCACACATCGGATGAAGCAGATTCTCCCACAATGGCCCCACCAAGAGATCGCCTCGGGATGGTCGCATCGCTCTCGACAAGCATTCAAGACGACATCCGTCATATGCGGTTTCATGACATCGCGCTTTTATGGTGCCCCTTACGGAGACGATTGAAACCATTTATTGCACATGCACGATGTGTGATTAATTAATTTCATATTTATTTTTACTTTTTGATTAAATTCATAATTGATTAATTATGTTTTTTTTGTGACAATTAGTTAATTTTAGAAAAAAATAATATAACTACTACATTATGATAGTTAAAAAGTAACGATTAGCCATTGAATCAAACTCGATTTTTAAAAAGTTATATTGGCCCAAACATTGAATGATCAAATTAACGTGATCAACATCATCGATTTGAATATCGCTAATAAATAAATATCATATGAGTAACATGGAGACTTCTTCATGATATTAGTGTGGGAAGTTTGGGAAAGTGCAAAAAGAAAGACACTAAGCTACTTCGGCGCCACTCGTAAAAGCGAGTTATGCACTAGATTCTTTTCAAACTTTGAAATTAAATATGCTTGGGTGAAAATAGTACTAAGATGGGTGACCTATTAGAAATTCCATGAGTTGTTCTTCTCTTTTTACACCTTTTTTGCCCCTCGCAGTCCCACCCGTCTTTCTCACCTTTCATTCTCTCCTCGTTTTTGCCACTCCTCGTTTAGCCTAACCCTCTTGGACGACATGGAACCACTAGTCCGAGCACACACCGGCTAGTGGCTAGCATGCAATTCGAGGCGAGTAGGTTTTCTAATGATGGGCACAACTTTCAACTCGAGCGTCCGTTTAGGACCCGTAAGGTTCGATGGAAAGCCAATCCGAGCTCTATAGCAGCCGCTATGAGCCATTGCCCTTAAGGCCCCATTTCAAGATCCAAAAAAAAAAAACACTCTCAAAGTGCCTTTTCGAGCTCTTGCTCAAAGCCGAGGGTGCGGATTCTCCAACAATGGCTTCATTGAGAGGCTACCTCGGAACAATCGCATCGCGTCCACCAACACTTAAGATGACATTTGTCGTGAGTAGCTCCGTGACACCATGCTTCTTCGACGTCGCTTGCAGAGACAGTTATATCTATATTTTTTTACACGTGCACGTGTGATTAATTAATTTTGAATTTATTTATACTTTTTGATTAAATTCATAATTAATTAATTATGTTTTTCTTTGACAATTAATTTCAAGAAAAAGAATATGAATGTTGGATTTTGATTGTTAAAAAGTAATAGCTATGATCGTTGAATTATGACTTAAAAAGTAACGATTAGTCATTGAATCAAATTGATATTTTAATAGTCATATTGATTGCGAAAGACTTCTAGTAACCTATAAATAAAAGATCGTTGTTCAAAAAATAATTTAATTCTTTCTTTTGCAATCCTCCTTCTCCTCCCAAAACTCTTCCCTTCATAAAATTCTATAGCTTCAAGAGAAATTCTCTTAAAGAAATTGTAGGAGCACCGTTGGCATTTCTTTGGATGCAAAGTTGAATTTTAGAGGTGAATTGCTAAAATCCTCGCAGACATTATAGTAAGAAAATATTCACCTTAAGGACAATGTAGAAATATTTTTGTGCACATAATGTGTTCTCTTATATTCATCTTCAAACTTCTGCAACTCTATTTTAAAGAAGATTCCACACTTCCTAGATAGCAAGAATCTTCATGTCAATGTCTTGGGATGCAAGAATCACACCTTTCAACATTTTACAATCAATGTACTTGGTGAGAGTATAAACTCGGATGAAACCCATCAAACAATCAAATTAACAGTATCAATATCATCAATTCGGTCATCACCAACAAATAAATATCACAAGAGTAATATAGAGACCTGGTCATGGTATTAGTGTGGTAAATTTGGGAAAGTAAAAAAAGAAGAACCTATTTCTGAAGTGTTTGTTAACAATTTCACCATCTCTAGTACCTCAAGTGGTGTGAGAATAAATCTTGGCCTGCGTTACATGGTGACTCTGCATCGAATATGCATTTTGAAGATACTATCATGAATAATGTCTCGAACCCCGTTCTCATGGATCAGATGTACTGCCCATGGAATCACTGCACTAAAGAGGTACTCTCAAACAAGAAGGAAAAAAAAAAAACTGTGTTATGCAAGATCGGTACCATACAACCACACACACTTATGTTGCCATTTGAAGTGGAGATTACTGAAGGTCTTTTGTAATTTTATCTGTTCTTTCCAGGCTCCATCAAACGTAAAGCTAATTGATGTTAGTTTCAATAAAATAAGGGGCACTTCCTCCACTGCAATTGCTGTGCAGCTTTTGTGTAGCAGTGGTATCCCTTGCGAGAAGATTGAGCTTCCTGACATTGACCTCACGTATAGTGGAACTGAAGGCCCTGCAAAATCCAAGTACGTTAATGTCAAGCCCACAATTTTGGGAACATTGAACCCACCCGGTTGTTGATTTCTTGATAACGTTGAAAGAAATCACGTCAAAAATCTTTTTTGGTTTTTTAATAGGCTAGCTTTGGAAACTTTGATTGATATGAACCCCGCAGGCTTGTAACCATTCATGGCAGGTGCTTATTCTTGTTTGTCTTCTGTTTTCTTGTCAGAAAAATACTTCTTCGTTCAACATCGGAGCGTCAGTACAACTTGCAGCAATATTATTCTAAACAGTTAAATCACATAATGAAATAGAGAAATGGCGAGCCTGATCCATGAATATGACAGCCACTGCAAAATGGTTTTTCAGGTAGGCTATCTACTATTGAATTGAATTTGAAAGTTGGAATTGCACAAGAGGGAACGAAGGTGATTTCGTGATCCATTGACAACTTCATCTTTTCCGGTCTTTTACCCTAAGAACACAACCAAGGTCGAGCAATACAATAAGATGCAGACTATTTCTGAAACATATTCATGTTATTTGACCCGTAAGGTTTTTGTAACTCTATGAATCCAAACAACTAGCCATCCAGTTAGCCAGACAAGTTCATTTCTTAATTTCATAAACAAGCAAATATAAAGAGCTCCTTGAATAGTTTCAGAGTCCTGTGGAGAACTTTAGCTAGAGCTCTACCATAGGATAACTGATTATCACCGGGAAAAGTAAAGGAAGACAGTTATAAAACAAACAAAAAACGCAGGGAGAAATATCAAGAGTGAAAATATCAGAACAAAATTTTACTATGTTTTCCCTTGAAAAAAACAGAGAGAAGTTCTATCACATATCTTGGCACCCTACGGTGACCTATTTTCATAGTTAGAGAAGTTGATGAAATCCTGATACATCTTGCAAAGACTTAAGATGCCAAACTGATAGAATATATTACTAAACTGTGACATCCCTCAGTGCCTTCTCGTTTTAGAATCGCTTTTAGAAACTATCACCCCTGAAAGCTTGTTGACCTCATAAAGTAGACCAACAGAGAACAAGAAACTGCATCAAATACAAAAGATTGAATACAGTCATTAGCACACATTTGTAGGCCATTCAATGTCAGTTTGCCATTAATCATCTTGATTAAATGAAATCTACAGTTAATCTCATCAATCAGTATGAGCATAATTCTTGCCAGATATGCTGTAGTTATTCAGGATTCAGCCCATTCAGCATTACAATTTATGATGTTTAATAGCATATCACCTACCTTAAATCCTGTGGATGAAATTAAATATTCATGAATTCTAAACCATATCTAGTCATTAATATGATTATGGTTGATATGATCATTATTGTCTCTATACTTCTTTTCAATAGTGTAATGATTTTGCTTTCTTCACAATTGCTCAATTGAAGTTTTCTAGTCTGTTGCTCTATTGTTTAGAACAAACTTATGAAGCTACAGGATGCTCACAGTCCAAAAGGTAAACACCATCTAATTTCCTTGAAAGGTTATTGATGCCAAGCAGATACGCTACCAATCCAGTTCAGGTCATGCAATTCACTAGTTGCACAGCTTCCATGATCAAACTTTTCCAGCCCTTTACCCAAAAGAAGGCTTAAGGAGAAAAAATTGCAGTTCACTGGCTCAACTAATTGTGCCAGATCTGTTGCAAGCCTACATGTAAATCAACACAAGAAGTTTCGGACACAAGTTTTCTCATCAACCAAGCAATTTCTACCTAAAAATGTCCAATGGTGCAATTGATGCCCAACACAACAGTAGTGCAATGGCTGGTCAAAGAAAATCACGGGAAAATGGATTTTTTCTCTCAAGTATGCATTGGCAAAAACACATAGTGAAAAGCAAAAATCATATGTTACATCTTAACCTTACCATGTAGTGATGCAAACACGATGCACAGTGCTTGCTGCAATTAGAGCAACAGCTTGTGCTGATATGACTGCAAAGAAAAAAATATATTAGCAGTAGATATATTCTTGATCTTTTCAAACGGCAAAGGCAGCACCTCAGAAGCAGGTTTGTAGCATCAGTGCTCATGTGCAGCAGCACTAATTAAGAGAAGTAATTTTCATGCAGCATTAACATATTTAGATGATTACAAAAAGTTTCGTGGTTAATTATTCATAAATTTAATGAACTATTGAAAACAAAAAGGATAAAATAATAAGTCTTTTGATGGCATGGGTCCTGATCTCTACATAGCAACTTGAATCTCACTATCCTTCATGGAGGAGACTACCATGCTACCAAAAAGAGAATCAGACTGCACACCGCAAGGTAGGCCTCGTGCCTTTTCCCTCACCGCAAGGTAGGCCAAACATGAGACAGCCTATGTGCTATAAATTGATAAATTAACTTCATTATCTCTTATGCATTTGAAATATGTTGAAAGGAACAGGTTAGGGTCCATGAGGAGTCAACCAAAACAAAAGGGGAACAAATGCAAGTTATCAGTAATAGCTACATGTATCATGACAACTCATCGGATATCAGGCACGGAGTGATCTGTAGAACTGAAAGAGTAAAGTTTGTGATAGGCATATACAATTGGAACAAGACTTTGGAATGTCAGCACAGAATTAAGATATGGTGCAACCGTGCAAGTGCAGAATCGAAATAAGCAGCAGTTATCTAATGGATGTTTTTTAAGAAGCCATTTAATTTATGCTGTTTTGCTGAATAAATAAAGTAGTAGATCCATCAACCCAATCCCCTCCCCTCTTCTTCCAAATAAATAACCGAAGGCAAGCGAAAACATAGAGGGAAAGTCCACCCACCAGCACCCCAGCCAGTCTTCATGCCACATGTTTCCTGGAAATTCCCAATGAACTGCAGAAGGGTAAAAACTCAAAATCAACAACAAAATTCATAAAATCCAAATGAATCAGATCAAAATCGATTCGTTAAAAAAAAAAAAAAACTCACAGTGAGGAGGACAAGAAACAAGAGAGAACTGATGAATCCACCAAGAATGGTAAATAACTCGGAGGATGCCAATTTAGCGCGATACATCTCTTGAAGTGAAAGAATTACAGTGAACAGAAGAAAGGAATATAGCATTGAATTTCCTGGTCCTGTCGCCATACTGTTCACTCCCTTACCATAATTATCAATAAAATAAAAAATAAAAACCATTAGACGAGATTTAAAAAACAAAATGTGTACAGATTTAAGCTGTAACTAGTAGATCAGAAAGGTTAATATCATAGACAAGAGAAAATCAGGAGAATTGGAAACCCTATACCTTCAGAAACCCTAAAGATATAGATCTACGCCCTCTCTGCTTATGCGTCTATCGTCTTTCAAGTTTCAACAGGGTCTGGTTTCAACTAGAAATGCGAGTTGATAGAGTCCCCAGATAAGTGAACGGTGTCGTTTTAAATTTATTTACTTTTATTTGGACAATCTAAACGCTGCGTAGAACTGCGACTTGAACCCTCTTCAGGGGATGTTAACTTAGCTGCCGTTTGTTTGTGTGAAAATATTTTCCCACGGTAGAAAGGCTTTACCTAGAATGGAAAAGGGCAATGCTAGGGGACTTAAATATGTTATTCACATTATTTATAATTGGAAATCATCTAAGCTATGCTGCTAAAGAGATATAAAGAACAAAAGTCTAGGACTAAAATGACGTAACAAAACAAATTAAAAACAACATTGTAAAAATGAGGGGCATAATAAAAAACCACTTAAACTAAATTACTGAACGAACCATGTGTTTTATGAAGGTAAATAAAACTTCATAAAATAGTCAAAAAGAGAGAGGGTATGTTTGGCTGGATCATGATCAAAATTTAGGAATGAAAGACCAACTGTTATTCCACTTATTCATACCAAAACCAGGCCCTAACCATATTTATATGGCAGCAACTTTAATAATTATTGAACTAAATTCAGCAAGTTCCCATCCAAAACATGAACTATTTGACATTAAAAAAAAAAAGATGAGGAAGAATGCTATACCTGCTAAAAAAGGGACGAAAATTCAGCAAGAAATGGGTTGCAATAACTCTTTTGTTTCTCCCTTTAATGTTCTCAAAAATCCTTTTTCTCCCACTTTTTTGCCTTTTATTTATATTAATTTTTGAATTTTTTTAGGTTTTGTTTTTTTTTTAATAATACCTCCACCCTTAATATGGTAGAATCGATCCACATCATCCACATCCATCTTAATGATCATTTCATCCTCTTATTGTAGCAAGAAGAGAGATTGAAAGTATTTTTTTATTGATTCGAGCAACCGCAAAAGCATGTTTTATCGATTCTGTTCAAAAACTTAAAGCAATGAGTTTAGGAGTTGATTGCAACGAGTTTTTTTGTTGAAATTATAGGTACAATAGCATGAAAGATGTAGGCAATTTTGTCTAGAGTTGGAGCTCGAGAGACATAGAAAATTTGGTTATTTGATGGATAGAATAAAATATTGGGAAAAAAAAAAGAAAGATGAATGGCACCTACCTAAAGGTGGAACAACGTCGTTTCACACTAGGTTTTTTTTTTTTTAATTCCGAATTGAACAAAACAACATCGTCCAACTTATGAGTATTTTTTTTGTACTTTACTTTCTCCATTTTTTTCATTTTAGTCTACAAACTTTCATTTTGTTTATTTTATCTTATTTTTCATTGTTTATTTTAGTCCTTCTTCCTTTCAACTCTTCTCGATTGCAACCTCAATTAGTGTTTTTCTTTTCTTTTCTTCTTTTTGTTTTCGTTTGACTTTGCCCCGGTATTGTTTCTAGCTTTATTTTTTCAATTTTGTTTTGAATTTTTCAAATATTTTTTCAATCTTTTTCTTTATGTTGTTATTTATTTATTGCTTTTATTCTCGTTTTTTTTTTCTACCTTTCTTTTAGTTTTTCTATTTTTCCTTTTTTCCTCTTTTTTTTTCAATTGTTTTTTTCAAAAATTAGGGAAAAAAACAAGCATGTTTTAAAATCATGAAAATTTATGAAATAACTAAAAATTATGAAAAATCATAGATTTTTTCAATTTTTGAAAAAATAAATTTTGGAGGTCAAAAACTCGGTTATGATAATCATAAAGTATCTTCTAGCTAGCTTTCACATATTCAAATCAAAGTTATTTACACAATTTTCTTAACGAGATAACTTTTATATTAAAGAATAAGAGATTCGTGAGAGATTAATAAGCTTCTCTTTTAAAGAGGTGTTAATACCCAATTTTTTGCTCCTATTTTTTTTATTTTCATTTTTACTTTATTGCTAAAATACCAAAAAAATGATAAACAAAACAAAAAGCCAGGCATATAAAAAATAATAAAAAATCAAAAATAAAAAAATCAAATCAATCGAAACTATTATCTTAGATTAATTCTAGAAAGGGAGCTAATTCAAAAAATAGAAAGTTCAAAAAAAAAAAGAGACAATTAAAAGCATAATTAAAAGAATTCAAAACTTCAGTCTCTTATTAAATTAAAGAGGGACACAATTGAAACAAATTAAAAAGAAAAGCCCTAACCAATTGAAATTTAAAGGCCCCATCAAAACAAAAACTAAAATTAAACTTAAATTGATAGAATGTAGAAAATTCGTAACCAAATTGAATTTTTGCAAAAAACCTAGAAAATACCTATAAAAGCCTTTGCATTTTTTTGGTATATTTAACTATCCATTCACCAACTTGAAGCTCCGACCACCTCTCTCTCTACTATAACCCAAACTCACCCAAAACCATCATCTCCCTTTCAAGCTTCTACTCAACCGAAACTTACTCTCTCCAACGCCTCTCTCATAGCCTCACAAGCCTTCATCTTTTTCTTCATATTTGATCGTAACAACAAAAAAAAAGAGGAAAGAGGTAACCACATTTCATCTCTCTTCTCTTGCACTTTTGGATAGAAAAACACAACCCACACCAAGCTATCACCCCTACTAGCAACCTTCACTCCCTCGCATACTCCCACATAGCCTCCCTCATTCTTACTCGAAGCCAATAATAGCTTTGCCTCAATAGCTCCTCTTTCTTTTACATGCCCACGCCTATGTAGTAACCCTCGCACGCCCAGCTGCACGCCTATGCCTATGCAGCGACCCTTCGTTCACTCAACTACACGTCTATGCCCATGCAGCAGCCCCCTCACGTGCCCAACTACATGCCCATGTAACGAGCCTCCTTGTGTAGCAGAACCTTAATAGCCGCACAACTCGCTTCTCCTCATATGTGCACCCAGCTACATAGCCTCTCCTCTATTAGTGTAGGTGTCATCTATTAGTGTAAGTGCTCGAGATCCAACCTCTATATGCACAGTCTCCAATCCCCTCTAATATTTCAAATGGTTCAATGTACCTTGGACTTAATTTTTCTTTCTCTCGAATCTTATTACTCCTTTCATTAGTGCCACCTATAGGAAGACCTTATCACCAACCTTAATTTTTAGGTCTTTCCTTTACACATTAGCACAACTCTTTTATCTTTTTTGAGTCGTCTTCATTCTCAACTTGATCTCGCTCAACCACTTTTACCGTCCGTTGAACCATTTTTAGTGCTAATAGCTCCTTTCGCCAACATCATCCTAATGTATAAGTGTTTGGCACCTCCATTCGTATGAAGCTTCATAAAGTGTTATCCTCGTTAGTCGTTATTATAGAAAAATTCTATAAGTGGTAAATATCTCTCCTATCTAGCGGATCGATCCAAAACGCGAGTTTGTAACATGTCCTTTAGGACTCGATTCACCCTTTCGTCCGCTCGTCAATTTAAGAATGAAAGGTTGTGTCGAAATTCAAATTGGTTCCCATCACTTGATATAAACTCTTTCGAATTATGATGTGAAACGTAGGTCTCGATCCGAGACAATCAAGACCGAATATCATGTAGTCTTACAATCTCATTTAAGTATAGCTCTACATATTGATGCATGAAATATGTGGACTTCACCGTAAGAAAATGAGCCGACTTGATCGACCTATCAACAATCACCCATTTACTATCACTCTTTTTTTGAATTGAGGTAGTCTAAGTATGAAGTCCATAGTAATATGCTTCTATTTCCATTTAGTTATATTAAGGGGTCTCACCAATCCTAATGGTCTTTGATGCTCGATCTTGACTTGTTGACATGTTAAGCATCTTACTACAAAATTGATAATGCCTATCTTTATCCTTTTCCATCAATAGTTTTCTTTCAAATCTCGATATATTTTAGTACCTTCCGGATGGAATAGGATTTAGCATGAGCTTCCCTCAAAATATCCTCTCAAAGCTCTTTATTGAAGGGAACACATAGCCTTCCTCGATAGTGCCAAATGCCTTTGCTATCGGTGGCATACTCTATAATCTTTCCTTTAGCTACATATTTCTAAACTTTCATCAAATTTGGATCCTATAGCTGACCATTTTTAATTCTCTATCTTAGATCGAGTTATAGCATCATTACACCTAACCTCATATCACAATCTCCTTTTGGTACAACCTCCAATTGTAACCTTTCCATGTCCTTAACAATTTGGACCTATATAATTACCAGTGTCTTTTAGTTTAAAGCATCCATCACAATATTTTCTTGATCGGGGTGGTAGTAAAAAGCAATGTCATGATTATTTAACACTTCAAACCACCTCATTTACCTCATGTTTAACTCCTTCTAGGTAAATATAACACTTTAATTCAGTTTCAATGGGTACTAGTTATTACAATAAAGATATACTAGAGGCTTTATGGTCGGTGTAGATGTCACACTTGACCCCATATAAGTAGTGGCTCCAAATATTCAAAGTAAAAATACGAGCAGGTAACTCCAAGTCATGAGCGGGATAGTTCTTTTTATAGTCTTTTAATTATCCGGATGCATAGGTAATGAATCTCCTATATTGTATTAAAATTGCATCGAGTCCAATTCTTGATGCATTGGTATAGAGTATGAAGTCTTCATCATCCTCCGATGAGCTAAAATAAGTGCGATAGTCAACCCGAACTTTAGTTCTTGAAAGCTCCTTTCACAATCATCACCCACTCAAACTTTGCATTCTTCCTTGCCAATTTAATCAACCGAGTAGCTATCTTAGAAAATCCTTCGACAAACTTCGTCATGGCAAGGAA